TCAAAATATCCAGCCATACAAGATCATGAAAAATACATCAAAATTTTGAAAAAGTACATCATTCTTTGTCTTCTTCCACGTAGATCACATTGAAGTCAATGTTATGGAGCTTGGCAACAACTTGAGCATGAAAGGCCTCATAGCCCGTAAAATAGCACTGGCCCTTGTTGTTCAATCTTCCCTTTCCATGAATGCGGCCACCTCCTTTTCTTCCTTTGCTAATATTTCTTTCTCTTTGTCACTAAGAGCCAATGTCAGCTTGGAGACCTATTCCTCTAACTCCTTAGTGTGGTCCACTTCCTTCAGTAGACTTTAAAGCTTCACTATCAGCATCAGCGGCCTTCTTTGAAATGTCATCTTTCTTTCATCACCTTCTCCAAGAGAGCCTATTTCTTGCTGAGGTTAGCCTTCATAGCAGCTTCAGACTTACGGAATTTGGAAACCAAAGCCACCGCAGCTTGATCCCCCCCCCCCACCACCCAAAGCTGACAACAACTTGGCCAACTAAAAAAAACACACTTAGCATAGGAAGGTTGGAGAAGTGTAAATCATGAAGAAAAAGACTATGGAAACTAGAAGGGACGTACCTCACTCATCTTCTCGCAAGCCCGAGCGTGTATCTCCGAAGGACCTAGTTCCTTCATTTTGTCCACTGCCTCCCTAGTCGCTCAAATATAAACCCAAGCAATTGGATTGTTTGAATTCCTAGATGGGAGGGTCACCCAAAACTACTCAGATGGGGTCTTTGGCATCCAGCCAACCTTGAAGCAGCTGAATGATCATTGGTTCCCCCTGTTTATTCCGATAGATCAACTACTAGATTCGTGGCCTTCTCTTTAGAAGGAACGACCCTAGTGGGGGCCACCAGATTAGGAGACTCACCAAAAATTCAAACCCTGGGCATCGATAAGAACCCTCCTTTTGGAAGCTTCAATTTCTTAGAAGGGAGAAGATCTCCACTAAGAACAAACTTGGCTCTTATAGCCTTCTTATCCAAAGGCTGACCCATAGATTCTAGGCAAAGTAATTTCAATCAACAACAAAAACAATAAAAAACTAAAAGAGAAAGAAGAGAAAAATGAACTAGGGAAGAACTTACTCTTCTCCTCAGCCATTAGAACTTTGAAGTCACAACAAGAAATTTTTGTAGCTCTCTTTGCCAGCTCCAAGATTTCCTCGCTGAGATGGATCATCGTTGCTAAAAAATAGAAATATAAGACCAAATGACGAAAAATGAAATTGCAAATGAAAACCCTAGAAGAGGGAACTCACTAGAAATGATCAATAGATAGAAAAACCTGACTTTCTCTCCACTGGGTCGAACTCCCAATCCTCTGATAGATAGAAAAATATGGGTTTCCAGTTGTTGTTTGTGTCAGAGAGCCCTGACTCAAGCTTGGGGATCCCCGGCTGAGTGCTAAGGTAAAAGTAACCTTTCTGTGTGCACTTTTTCACTTTGTAGTATTAAAAAAATTTGTTTTAAGTTATAGAATAGTGCCCCCCAATCGCAAGCCTCCATAATGCCATCAGACCCGTGAGGGTCTTCCAAGCATTAGGCACTAACTGACAAGAGGACAGACCCAGCCAAGAAAAAACATACCTAATGAATAAAGGAATAGGAAACTCAAAAGCGGGCTCCAGGAAACATACTTCTCCATATGAAGGAGAACAAGCTCACTCGTGAGTAGAGGACAATCGAACATAAACCAAATTCGGAAGACCATATCGTGACTTCAATGAGCCCATACTATTTTCAGTATAGTGAGACTCAATGTCATGAGCCTTCTAGAGAAAGGACCTATCAACAAAAGGAGTCTGTTGTGAGTCCACATCGGGGTTAGACGAACCCATACGAACATCCCCAGTAACTTCACTTGACATTGCCGGTAAGAAGGGATGATAAACAAGACCTCGATGCTTGGAGACTGTCTCTTTAATTTCCTTGGGGGAATCATCTAAGAGCAGTTGCCTAAAATTAGGGGTCTCAAGAAAGCACTTACCAAGAGAATTGGTAGGATTGTAAGGGCTAACAATGTTTTCTAGTTCATTATCACTGTAGATTGTGAAGGGATCAATGTTCATAAAGGGAAACAAAGGCAAAGAAAAAACAAGAATCCCTGAGAGAAACCTGTTTAATCAAAACATGCAATCATATACACAAAGAGACTAAAAATCGAAGAACGAAGTGAAGAAGATGGAAGAGGGTAAATATACCCACAACCAATGGACTAGATTCAATTAATCCTATGGATGGGAGTCAAAACGTATGAAGAATGTCAGGGGTCATGACATATGGCAACAGTTGAAAGCCAATGTACGTAACACGAAAAGACAATACCATAAATGCACCACCCTCGAAATTCCAAGAGCCACCGAAAGGGCTATTCAAAACCCAAGAAAAGCGAAAGGGTCAAAATCAAATAACCATCAAAAGGTATCATCGAAGACAGAAGCATGACTAGGAAAATTCCTCATGACCTACCTCTTCAAGAGGTCACAAGGAATAAAGGGGCAATTGGTGGATATATTCCAAACCTCGGAGTCTTGATATCACCTCACAGTCTTCGAGTATCGTCAATCACATCTAACATGCTGACACGTTAACATGCACATGCACACATGGGCATCAAAAGAAACATGATAGTCAACAAAATGACTAGATGGTTTTTTTTTTTCACGGGGGGTGTTGGGTTGGATTGGAATTTGACTTAAACCATATACCAAATGAATACCAATAGTAAAGTATTAGACCCAATATGCATTTATTAATATTTCCTACGAGCCGACCCTTGCATGCCCGTAGAGCTGCTGCATCAATGCCCAAGGGCAGAGGCAGAATTTTTGTTTATCTCGGGCTAAACTAAGCATTCATACGACTAACAAAATATGAATATTTTTTAATATATTATGTGACCCAAAAATTTTGTTTTTTATTTTGGCCCAAAAATTTTGTTTTTTTAATTATGGTCCAAAAATTGTTTTTAATGTTTGACCAAAAATTTTATTTTTTTAATGTTGGGTCAAAAGTTTTTGTAATAAGTTTGGGTAAATTTTAATAAGTTTTGGTAGATAATATTGTGCTCAAATTTTTTTTGTTTTAAATGGGTTAAATTTTTTATTTTTTTTGGATAAATAATATGGGCTTAATATAAATGAAGGAGACACACATAACATATTATATAAATATATAATACATATACCCTACTAATAAATTTTTTTTTTGAGGGAGGGCACTTGCCCACCTTGGCTCAGCTGTTCCTCCGCCCCTGTGTAATCTCCCCTCTGTTCTAATCAAAATAAGAATAGAAAACTTTGAAAAACTCTTTATTTCTATGATTATTGGGGCTTAAGCCTTAAGGGCTTTGGGTAATTGGGCTAATGATTAGTAATTTAGTGGATTGATATTGATAGCCTTGTATAAAAGTGATAATTTTTTATTTTTTTTTATTCTGGGCTTCAGTCCACCACAGTCCACTAATGGCTCCGTCCCTGTCAATGCCCAGTATCACAAGTGTATAGTGTAGTACTGGCTGTGAACGGTTGCAACCGACGGGATTTACATCTCCCTCTCACCCCAACCTAATCACAGAGAAGAAGGCTGAGACAATGTGAAGATAAAAAAATAAAAGGTTTAAAGTTGAACAGAGAGAATTATGAAAAAAATATTCATAAATATAAGCTGTTCACGGGATATTAAAAGCTTTAAAAATTCATTAAAAAAAAAAAAAGGTAGGGATGGGAGTCCATGGACATCAAACATACTTATATTTGCCTTATGTTGACCTTTCCCAATGGTTGAACAAGAGTCTAAATATCTCTTTATGTAAGCAGGAACATATCTAAATATCTAATTATTAAGGAAAATCTGTACTTTATGAAAGCCCTCGTAAGGCATACTCTTAAAACACCCATGTGGACACCATGTGGCGGATTTTTCTCTTGCCAAAGCCTCAAACCATGCCCTGAGAATTTTTCTTCTTCTGGGACCCACCTGCACTCCCAACTTCAGCATGTTTTCCGGATCCTGCCAATTCTCCTCCTCTTAATCAACATCCTCGGTCTATCATGGTGGCACCCAATGCATGATACTCAAAACCCTAAACCCCACAAGCCTCATTTTTAACTGTTTAAGCATGTTCATTAATCCACATACTGGGCTGACTGGGTTCAGTTGCCCATTTAGTTAGTCTGCAGTTTTGACACAAAACTCAACTTAGCATGACATGGCAATTGACTCATGTTGTGTTTAAAGTATTTATTTTAGGTTCCTGTCGAATATTAGGTAATCCTAATTCAATTTATTTTATTAATTGTGTTCAAGTTGATATAAATGACACTTGAAATAGTTATTTAAAATCAGCACTATTTTTTTATTTCAATCAAACAAGCCCTATATAAACTAAAATTCATATAATATGTATGACCTCCAAATTAAGTCAAAAATCTAGTGCGTCAAGAATTCTTTCAATGCTTCATCTAGAAATTATGGTTCTGAGCCACAAAAAGGGAAAATTTTATTTCTAGAGTTAGATTACGTCCATTAGACTTAATTTCCTAAATTTCACAATGCTCAAAACCTAGTTAACCAATTTTTTTGTAGTGAGGGACTACGTTTATGGAAAAACAAGCTTCTAACATTTTTTTTTATTATTCTTATTCTAAAAATACTTTCTTTTTACCATTTCTATCCCAATCCTAAGCAAAAACCACATTCACTCATGAATGATGGAGAGACCAATCCAGTGAGTTTTACTAGGCACTGTGCAGTCATAATGAATTACAAACGTTAGGTTTGCATACAATTAAGGGGACTTTATTCGTTATACAAACCCCAAAACTTTTTTCAATATTCTCTTAGGGTTTTTAGGTGGTGGCCCTGGGGGTCCATGGAAACCATGTGCTTGCATGTGCTGTGTCTCTCTCTGGTGGGTCACCTCTCCTGCTTTGAGCAAATATATGGCTTTCTGCACATTCGTCGGCTTCTCATTCCCCCCCCCCCCCCCCCTCTCTGTCTCCCCTGAAATTCTTGCTTTCTGATACATTTTGTTGGATCCCTACGAACTCAATCTCTCTGCACGTTCTCTCTACTCTCATGCCTGGCAGGATTCTCTCTCTCCTCTAACAGAAAATCAGCAAGGTACAGAAGAGAATACCAGTGCATATATAGTGGCATTTTTCTAAATCTCAATATTCATGAGTTTAGTGTTTAAAATTCAAACCGTCTGATTATCTTTTGCATGTTTCTATTATCTATGCATACTATGCAGAGTTGGCTTTTAGTGGATTCAGATCCATAATCTCTTCTGTTTACTTCATTTGCTCAATCTGCTCTAATTTGCATGTCATGCATATGCTAATAGAAACATTTTTAAAGCAACAATGAAGGTTGTGATTTAAATTAATAAAATTGACAAGCAAAACTATACTGCACTAATCAGAATTTCCTTACAATTCCATGAGCACCCATATCGCTAACCTTACTACTTGATGCTTATATGTTCTTCCTATATCATTTTCTCCATTCTCCAGAATGCATAGTCTTAGCTTACTCAAACAAGAATTCCTCAAGAAATGGATAATTGGCCTTCAAATATATAAAGCTTCAAAGGAGGACATGAGCCTTTTGGAGAGAAAGAAGGCCATAAAGCTATCAGCAAACTTAGCCATGGCTTCAACTCAAAATCTGAGAACTCATTGGAGTCGCACTCTAATCGCAGATGCTTCTAAAGAAGACAATAATAAGATCCTTGTGGAGCATATATTAGGCTCTGATTCCAAGACCTTGAAAAAAATTTCAACTTCATTGACGTACAACAAGAGAGTTAGAAGCAAGAAGATCTTGAAAAGAAGTTGCAGTCTTCATAGAAGGAAGAAAATAGCTCCTCAAGGTGTTATGGCTAGTTCTATTGCCAAGACCTTAGTGAAGAAAAGAACCCAATTGCTGAGGAGTCTTGTTCCCGGAGGAGAATTCATAGATGAATTCTCTCTCATCAGAGAAACCCTAGATTACATCCTTTCGCTCCGTGTTCAAGTTGATGTAATGCGGCAAGTTACTAAAGCTACTGAGCATTTGAATCGTAATAAGGTGGTTAATAATTAGTTTTTGCTGTTGTTTTTTGTTATTTCTTCTCTCCTGAAAAAGTTGATCATGAAGGAGATAAAGCAGCTGGTATAGTTGTAAAGGCATGTAGAGATGAACAATAATTAAGTCAGTCATGTCCACTTTTATATCACCTTCTAATTTTCTGCAATTTTTCAAGAAAAAAATTCTCATATTTTTTCAATTTATAGCATTTTATCGTCATTTTCTTGTGCCATTAATGTTTTGAGTTCTCTTCTCCATAGAATCTTTTGAAATTTCTTTGTGGAGCAATAAAAAATGTAGTTGGATTTTTTTTCCTATGAATTTTAGTTGATAATGAACTAATTGAGCTATAATTTGCAAACAATGGAAAAAAATATTAGCTTCTCAACAAGCAGGAAAGGCACAGATCCAATTCATACCACTCTTGAGGATAATGAAGGTAATTATGCTGAGAAAAATCCAGTAATTATTAATTTTATGATGTCCTTTCAGCATTCCTTTGTTCGCTTCTTTCGTTCTGGTTTTATTTACTAATCTAATTCCTTGTTACTGGGCATGTTCATAAATTGTGTTCATATAACAGTTGAACTCAATTTTGACCCAAAAATTAAACCCAAGTTTAGGATTATTTGGTCTAATCTTTACCTATGAACACATAAATTGTGTTCATATAACAGTTGAACTCCACTCACAAGTGAGTTATATTTTTCTTGTTTGTGTCGTTGGGTACTTCTCCCTATACTATATTTTTCCCTTATAATTTTCGTTTTTTTTGTTTTTTGTTTTTTTTTTGAAGCTCTTGGTAGTTTCCCTTGAGCTATATTTTGGTATAGGCAGTTGCTAGCTTTCGTTCTTGATGTCTTTCTTTCGGTATAGCACTGCTTAGTTTCCCAAATTCTCGAACAGATACCATTGATTAAATTTCGCTTGTATATAAGTGAACTGAAACTTGACCAAAAGCTTAAGCTCAAATTCAGGATTGTTTAGTACAATTGTTGTATATCTCTTTCTTCTATATGTGCTCACATGTGGGTTCCAACAGTTTTATGGAACGTTTCTTCTTATGTTGGTAATTGTCTTAAAGAGGGTGTCTCTGTGCATCCGTGACTAGTGTGTGTGTGTGTGAGAGAGAGAGAGAGAGGTGTTTATCATTTGTAGTGTTTGTACACAGCTGTGAGCTTCTCTCTTCTCTGCTAATGTTAGCTACAAAATGGAGATGGGTGGTGCATTATGGAACATGCTGGATAGAAAAAAGTTGGCGTTGACATTAGTAGTCCACAACAAAATTGAACCTATACTAAAACAACAAACGTGTCTACCCTTTTTCCCATCCCTGTTTTGCATGATACATGATGGTGACAGGTCATTTAATGGACGGTATGCGAAACATACTCACATGCATTCTTTGTATTTGTCGCTACTGCAAAAATTTGGAATGCTCAACATGTTAGGGCAGTTGTATAAATCAAGAAAAAATCACCTAAAAAATACAAAAAAAAAAAAAAAAAATATCGCCAAAAGACTTTTGAAAACAATTTCGAAATTTCTCCTAAGAAATTCTCTACCAAATGTATATTGACTTAACAGAGAAAGGAGGAGGAAATGCAATATTATTCCCATGAATTATTCTGTAATTGAACCACCCATATCAAATGGGTCTCAAATGCATCGCTTCGGGCTGTGACTGTTAAGAATTTACAGTTATTTTTTTAACAGTCATTTTGATTTTTAAAAATAATGTCTAATAAAAGTTATAGTTGCAACTATTAATTCTAACAGTCATATGGGCTGGAATCTTGTGCATGATATCGCATTCAAGTGAGAAAAATAAATCCAACCATATAATTTTGGAAAATTTGGTGACGGTCCATTTTTTAAGATTTATTTGAAAATATGTCAATTTTGATCCTTATGGTCCAAAATATCCGCAGTAGTTATATTTGTTGTTTGTGATTTTCTAAAATAATAAAATCACTTATTGAAATTTCTGACTTGTATCATATAACTAGAATAAAACATTAAGAGTTAAGAACCAGACAATTGTAAGTAAGAAAGAATAGTTACATGTATGAATGAAACAATATCACATAAAATCAGTAATTAAACAATTAACTCATTTGCAGAACGGGGGTTATTGAATTTTAATAAATCAAGACTAATATTTGACATGATATACTTAAGACAGATTTCGCTCTCATACTTGGTACTTATGAAAATCAAAGTGTCTATCTCTTAGGATACGATAATCTTTACATTAACAGTAATAGCACTTCATTATAATCGCTCAGCAAACTGAAACTGTGTTGTGTACTCTCTTAATGCAGATTCTCTAATACCGAAAGATGATGTATGAGACTGCCTTAATGTCTACGAAAATTGGATGAACAGAATGGTAATGAGTCTGAGTTTACATAGGCAAATTGGTGACTATTTCAGACAACCACAAACATCTGATTAGAGAATGGGGCAACAACCATGAAGCTTTGATGGAAAGGACGGTCTCATCCACACCCACACCCAAGCCGGGGCAAGGCAAGGCAGGTAGGCGGTACACGTGTGTAATCGAACTGATGACATGTAGGCACTCACTCAGTTCATAAAAGTGTGGTACCCCTTGGGTCCCAACCCATGGAGCAAATTTGGTATATATATGCACAAGTAGAATTTTTTCTCAACTAATGTAAAATTGGTGTTAAATCCCACATTACACAACCTCTATTTTTACAATTCACTTGGATCATATTGGAGCCTATTTTTTCACTCATTTCTTACATGATTTGAACAAGTGAATATACTATGTTATTCTTCCCACATAGTAGAACATAAACTCAAGAAAGTTTACTTAAAATAACAATTGGGTCTCACTTTAATTTAAGATCAAAATTCACAAAAAAATTAGTTTTTGCACTGAATAAATTGTTTTGGTTTAACAATCTCTCACATGAATGAAAAATTGGTTGTTAGTATGCAAATGATAATTCTGACACACTATTAAGAGTACATCTTGTAAAGATTGTGCATCAAGATAAGTAGTTTTTGGCCTTGAACCTTCCCTAGTAAAAATTATTCAAACTTCCCGTCTAAATAATGAATGTGATGTCTTCAATATTTAGATATTTAATAAATCAGATTAAATAGACTTCACACAATTTCTCTCCTAGCACAATTGGTTCTCATGATTATATTCATTTTAGCTTTGAACAACTCTTGTTTTTCTTAAGTGCTTTAGAGAATTTAGACTTTATAAATTCTTAGAGAAATAGCCCCTTCACATCCATATAGGTGACTGCTACGAGGAATATCATGCAATATCATTAAAAGTATAGCTTATCCTAATAAAATCTATAGGCAACACTAGTTTATCGTAGGAATAGGTAGGAAAAATTATCTCTTTAATGCTTCTTTTGAATCAGTTATTACTTGTTATCCCTTTGAACTAGATATTGGGATTTACAGTCAACTAGGTTGGATTATCATTAAGGTGATTCTTAAGTCATAGGCTTTAGCTCATTCTCCTGAATGTGTAATTTATTTATTCTCTCGTCAAACATTTGGTTAGTGAATCCGCTAGATTTTTTGATTTTATATAATTAATAAAAATAATCTCATTTGAGAGCAATCATCTAATGGTATTATGTCCATGACGTTTATATCTAGACTTACCATTATACATATCACTTTGTGCTTTACCAATTGCAAATTGAGTAGCGCAATTTATACAAATTGGTGGAATAGGTTTAGGCCATATTGAAATATTGTTTAGATATTGGTAAAGCCACTCAACTTCCTTTTCTTACTTTATCTAAAGCAATAAATTCAGGTTCTATCACGGATCTAAGAATACACGTTTTTTTAGAGAATTTTCAAGATAGCTACACTACCAAGTGTAAAAATATAACCACTTGCAGATTTTGTATCATTCATATTAGATATCCAATTAACATCATTATATCCTTCAAGTATAACTGGATATCTTTTATAGTGCAATCCAAAATTTATGGTACATCTTAAGTATCTAAGAACACTGATAATTGTCTTCTAGTGGTCTATTCCCAGATTACTCGTATATCTACTTAATTTACTAATTTAATATGTTATATCCGGTCCAGTACAGTTCATGACATACATTGATTGACAATAATATAAGAGTATTTCAATTGTGATATACTTTGGCCAGTATTTTTAGACAAATGAAAATTTATATCAATTGCTATTCTAGCAATACTACTTTTATCTTTGCTGAACTTCTCAAGTTTTTTCTCGTAATTGAAATAATATTAGTCTACCAGATATTTTAAAAATTTTAATTCCTAGTATAACATCTCCAAGATTGAAATCCTTCATGTCAAATTTACTAGACAATATTTTGTTGGTAGATTTAATAATATTATTATTACTACATAGAATAAGTATATCATCCATATATAAGCAAACAATGACAAATCCATTATTCGTATATTTGATATCGGCACATTTATTATATTCATTAATTATGAATTTATTTGACATCATGACTTTGTCAGATTTCTCATGTCATATGTGTCAAAATAATCAAGACCTTTTTTTTGCCTGTAATTTTTAGATATAAGTCTAGCCTTGTACTAATCAATTGATTCATCAGTTTTCATTTTCCTCTTGAAAATTTATTTACATACTAATACTTTACTTCCCGGCGGAAGATCCACCAACTCCCAAGTGTGATTTTGCATGATATATTCAATTTCACTATTTATAGCTTCTTTTAACATAGGTGCTTCAGGAGTAGACATTGCTTTATTGAAGCTTTGAGACTCATTTTCTAACAAATATGTTAGAAAATTAGGAGCATAAGACTTGAAAGTTCTTGTCGACTTACTGCGTCTAAGTGTCTATTCACATTCTTCATCTATAAACTCATAGTCTATAGAATTAGTCACAGTCTCATAAATTCTTTAAGAGAACTCTCATCAAATGCATTATTACTAGGAAAGATTTTTTCAAAGAATAATATATTTCTAAATTTAATGATTGTATTGACATGTATATCAAGAATGTCAAATTTATGTACGAGAAAATGATATGCATTACTATTTATTGTATAACCAATAAATATATAATCAATAATCTTAGCTTCTATTTTAATCCCTTTAAGAATAGGAACCATCACCTCAGCTAAACACCTCC